TGGAGTGCATTTTTAGTTCTTCCCGCCCTACATTCCCGTCAGACTCTGTAACCCTTAATAGAAACCTTTTGTCTAGAGTGACCTCATCCAAATATCTGGGTGTTACTATAGATAATAGTCGACACACATTCAGAAGTGTATGAGAAAATTTCGGCACCCCTCCCTTCAGCTCCGGAAGTTCAGACAATTTCGCACTCCCCAAAAAGTTTTGTTGTATTATTATTATATTTCACACTTGTCTAAGGACAGACCGTGTACCAGGTAAATTATGGTACGATAATCTTTATAATACAGAAAAACGTTCCATGATTGGCTTGTGGGCTGAATACTGCCAGGTTGCCTAGGCCAAAGCTTGGTGAATTTTCTTGAAGAATTCACAACCGGGGCTTTCGGTTGTCGAAATCCTGACCCGCAAGGCAACAGGTCGGTGTGTGAAAACCGCAGTCCGTTGGGAGCCGGTGTTCATCGAACCATGTGCCTTTCGGTACGGGGTCGAAAATTCAAGGTGCCCAGTATACCTCAATGCCCAATTGAGCCGGTGACCACTGCCACAACCGAAAAGGTGCGGGTGTGGTTCGTACGCTTCCTCTTCGTTCGTTTGGAATCAGGGTTTTTGGCCAACTCCCCTAGGTGAACTACCAGTGATCCACCAACCCGTTTATAGCCCCGGATGTCGGCTTTTTGTCCTCTCACTTTGGTGGGAAACGCCTCCGCCACGAGAATGCCGTAAGTAGGGCTTCCTCTGCAGAGGCTATTTGAGACGCTTGGTCGTATGGGAGCATTTCGCGAGGTGCAAGGGCAGGGTGACCAGCCGCAACCCTAGACACCCACCCCCGACCATACTGAGGCTTTGGGAGTCAACAAGTTTTGTCCTCTTTTGTTAAACGGTGCCTTCTCCCTATTTTACTCTCATTCTCACCTGTAGTGTTTCCCAGTTTATTGAAACAAGGCTTTAAAACTATCCGTCCTGGATTAATGATAATAAGCCGTGAATCTTTAATTTCTGCCAAGTCAATAATCACAGAACCTAATAATGGTCATATTAAGTCTTGTGTGACCTTTGCCAATAAGATTATAAACAACCACTCTCATCCTTTGCATTTTGACTTATCTTCTTGTCGCTCCCACTCGATCACTCGTTCCTTTTATCGGTACCTACCCTCTCGAATAAACATTTATAAAAACTCCATTGTACCGTATCTGGCTCGCATCTTAACCAACAAGGAAAGAGTTATAAATGAATTACGTCAATCTTTAGATGACTGAATCAAACATTAGAGACGTTTCTTTTTTACACACTTTGTCTACACTTCTATATTTTCTCCAGTGTACAATTTTTAACTGAAATGTAAGCATATCTCAGCTTGCAAAAGTCATACAAATACAAGTACATGTTCATTGAGCATGCACCCTTCGTTGGGATCTGTGCAAAAATTCCTCTTTTTTATTCATTTGCTGTCGTTCCAGATACACTATTCCACTTAGTCCAAAGTCCTATATCCTTTGAGGAAAAGCCGGTTGGTTAGACAAAGTTAGAATTTTGGAAGAAAATTTCACCCTGAAAATCTGTTCTAACGATCAAGTGATGCGCAAATCTCGAAATCGATAGTAGACAAAATTGTCTCAAAAGCGATACTATTATGGTTGAAGAATGGTAATGTAAAATAAGTACAAACCTCGAATCGAGAGGCGATTCTGGGAGTGCGCGTTTGTACTGTCAAAGCACAGTCAAACGATAGTGCGTCTTCAATAAAGGAGTTTGGGGTTTACAGTTACAGCACACCAAGATAAAACGGCATTCTGCTATCTGAGAAGAAGCCTTCAATGGTTATCAAGGCTTTCAAATCAACTGTGTGTGCGTGCAGTTTATTCAAAGTCAACGGTCAGAAAGCATTAGGTTGCAAACACATGTGCACAAGGGTCCAGTGGCTGATAACCATCTCGGCGAACACACCAACAACAATGCTCGATTGTTGTTGTTGCAGTTCATACAAATCAGCCATCATTGTTCGGGGTGAATTTGACCTATTTGGTCTAAGAAGTTTTGCTCTGCGGCGTTATATAACAGAAAAGCCTGCGGCTTTTATGATTTACTGGAGTACTTTTCCATCACTTTGAACTGTAAATGTTGATTTAATCTACTCTTATACTTACCATTGTATTGCTATTTCCGTGTTCACTGCTTCATGTCTAGCATGAGACGGTCTGTATAGCCACTGACTCATCTGACATTTTTGCCCTAGAGGTGAATGGGGTGATAATTCTGTCCAGTGGTCTCAATTCTCATTTGTTAGTGGCAGTGTCCTTGTTTTCCCATTCCTCGGAAGTTTTGTCTTCATTATGCGTCCCACTCCAATACACCTATTTGCTCATAAAGATTGAATTTACTGATATTCAAGTTATCGTAATTCCAGTAAGCAATTAACTGGAGACATTGTGAAGTCTTCAGAATTTCGGTACTTCATCATCATTCTGATTTCCAATGTGGACAAGATGACCAACAATCTCAGCATCCGGCTCACTGACTCACTGAAGGTCACAAACATATAATTGCGATCGTGGATGCATCTGTTGATTCTTGATCATATTTTGCTCGGATCCGGCTAATTTTTCAAAGTTTATTTAATATGAATTTTCGTCCGTTTTCAGGCCTCCAGTCGTCGTTTAGTTGACTTGGAGACACGCTACGCGGACCCGCATTCTTGCAGTTTATGCGCCTCAAGCAATGCCTCTGACTCTGGCCCACCCTATTCCAATGGCGCTTCGACTGGTACATCCTATTCAAATTCATCTCATTTGGGTGATAGTCCACAATCTGTGACCGGGTCGCTGGTTAGAGCGCACGCTTCCGGTCAACCTATTCAATCCACCGCTGATCCTCCAGGGAGTATTCCGGTTCCTTTTAGTTCCACAGCGCGACGCATGTCACGTTGGGCCGCATCCCCATCGTGTCACTCACTGGGCACATTTCGACAACCTCGTACTAGCTTCACAACCCACACAGTCACAGGTACAACTAGTACCACTACATCACTGCAAAGACGCAAAAAGAGTTGGACCAGTCGACGCTCTGTCAGCGGTTCACCATCACCTCCTCAACTTCCAGTCCTATCAACACCTTCTGTAGGTGGTGCAGTTGCTGACGCGCCGGAATTTCCCGGCACCAAACAGTCCGTTTTCCTCGATATTAAAACTTCGGAGGTGAATATGTCAACTTCTTCCTCGTCTTCTTCCGCCCTGAACGAAGGTGGTACCAAAAGCAGTCAGGAAAGCGAATCGCATTCATTTGAACACGCTCGGGGCTTGGTGGAACCGGACGAGCATTCGGCATCAAGCATCTGTTCCATGAAGGATATACAGGCCCGTCTCTTGGAACTGTTTCCCGCGAACACGTATTCCGGTACTACAACAGCTTCTTGTAGTCACATGGTCATCGCATTTCGCTATTTGCTTCCTCAGTTACTCCAGTTACCCATGTTACAGTTGTTATATCTCCTCGAAATTATTGAAGTGAGTTGCCATCGTGATTGGTAAAATAATTATTGTCTCTTCTTCAGACAAGTGATACGAGCATTTTATTTCTGTATTTACTATTTAGTCCAGTGATTCCGGTTGCTGCTTATGTTCAAGTTATCATTAGGCTTTTGAACTCAATTTTCTGTTGTGAATCGTCCTGCATGCATCGTGTGTATAATTAAAAATCATAAACATTCATTAGAACCAACACAATCAGCTCAACGGTGCTACATTTTCATCACTGGCACTGATGAAAACAGTAATTGGTGCTCGTCCTGTGGTCTTTAGTCTTGTGTTCGTCCATAGATGGAGTTGGCGAATTGTAGGGCTGGTTGGCAGTAGATACATTTTCTGCGAATTTGTGTTGTTCGTACTGGGCCACATGTCACTCGGGATCGTAACTTTCTCCGATGAGTGGTCTCAGTGGTGCAGCAATTTAGGTTGCTGTCATTGATGTGCTTTGGGATCTGAGGTTCCATGCTGGAATCCTTTTACCTCCACCTGATTCAAATGCCAGGTAGCTGCATTGCTTTTCTTTCCGATATCACATTCTTCCTATTGGGCTTTGAGGTTTACCTCCTCGAATTGAGCTTTCGAGTCCCTTGTAAAGAGCACAAGGTCTTCGTGACGGGGAATTTGTCACACCTTATTGATCACAGAATGAAGTTTAGTGAAAAATGAAAAGCTGCGGTGTAACTGTTTCTTAATGCCGAGAATGTTGGCAGTGCCAGCTATTTATCCTAATTTGGCAAAAATTAACTTCTGATGTTTATGTGCCACCCCCTCTCAATCCTTTTTATTGATGTACAGTGTGACATGAAAACATGTGTTGGTTCGAAAATTTTGCAATGCCATGTTGGTCAGCGGTCAGGTACATCATCATCGTCATCATTATACAGCGTGTTACAGTGAAGCGAATTTCACTGATCGCTGCCAAACTCATAGTGCATACAAGGTAGGTGGGAATGTTTTAGGAGAATAGGGATTGGGCTTATTTTTAGGTGCGAATCTCTGTCGTCAACACACAGAGAGCACAGTTCAGCTTTGCATACATACTATTTCAAACATTCTAGTCTGATAAGAAAAGATTGCCAATACTGTCGGTTCGCAGCCAAGGCCTTCGGTGTCTCCAATCATCCGGCTACGGAGTCTTTTGGACCCAAACCCGGAAGATTAGCGAATCCTACTCTACCTAATCGCTCTGTGCATTTCTTCATGCCTCATCTCCACTTGGCTTTCTGCAGTCTGCATTAGCCACTGCAAATAAAGCGCAGTGTGGTAGGCGACCGTCGGACATACGCAAAACGTGTCCCAACCAACGGAGCCTATGGAGCTGGATTCGATGCGATACTGAGTTCTCGTTC